AGGGTGTAACAGGCCGGGACACCGCAAGTCAGAATGCCCAGAGGAGCAGAAGAAGCAAAATCAGGGGCAGGGGAGTTCCAGCGATCAAGGAAACGCTAAGTATCAGTAGTTAATGGGCCTACTATTGATAGAACCTATTTGCTTGTAACCGTTGACCGACATCGAGTGTTGGTACCGATCCATGCAATCGACCAAACTCGGCTGAATGGGTGCAATGGCGGATTACCCTATTTATTTTGAGGGTAGGGTTCAAGGGAAAAAAAAGATTCTTCGTGGAAGGGAGAGCGAGCCACAGTCTGATCAACCTTGCCACAACCCAAAAAAAAAAAAAAAAAAAAAAAAAAAAACCCTTAGATAGGTGTCTAGAGGAGATTGATGCCCGACGAGTTGATGGGACCCCACTAGCAATAAAAGATAGGGCAAACAAGATTAGGGTACGCAGTGGAGCTTAATTCAAATTTTCAAGGGGGATGCTGGCAACTACACTCTACAGCTTCGACATGTTGCTGGGACGGGATGGGATGCGACGCTTCAATCCGAAAATTGACTGGACGACCAACAGCTGTTCCGTCAAAATCAACGGCCGTAGTGTGACGTTACCAGAATGGACAAAGGGGATCATGGGGAGAGTGACGTAGGTGAACTCCGCGGCGATCAAGCGAGCGGTCGCACGGGTGCACAAGTCTTCGTCGTAGTCGTTCGCGCCGTCGAAGCGACGTCTCAGCCCTCCGATTGAGAGAATGTGACAACAGCAGTGCCGGCCGATTTAGCGCAGCTGATTTGCAGATTTCTGCAGATATTTCCAGACAACCTGCCCGAGGGATTACCACAAGAACGACCCTTTGACCATCGAATAGAATTAAAACAAGGGACGCAGCCCACAGTGCAACGGTGATTTCAACTGACACAGCCGGAGTTAGAGGAATTACGGAAACAGTTAGATTAATTACTCGATTAAAAAATCATCTAACCGAGCTCATTCCCATTTGCCGCCCCAATACTGTTCACCCTGAAGAAGGACGGGGGGCACCGAATGTGCACTGACTACACAGCACTGAATAGGGTGACGATCGAGTAGTATTACCCTATCCCGCGCACCGACGAACTGATCGACCAACTTCACAAATCTCGTTTTTTCTCGAAAATAGATTTACGAGGGGTTACCATCAGATTCGCGTAGTCCTAGCTGACTATCACAAGACCGCGTTTCGTACTAGGTATGGGAGTTTCAAGTATGTAGTCATGCCCTTCGGACTGACGAATGCCCCGACGACTTTTCAAATTACCATGGACCATATCTTCATTTCCCTCGTAAATTAGTGTGTTATAGTTTACCTAGATGACATCCTGGTCTACAGCCAGACTCGGGAGCAGCACTAAAAAAAACCTCATAGCAGTTTTTACGCTAATGCAGGAGCATCGGCTGCTCACGAAGGGGTCTAAGTGCGAGTTGTTAACAGACCGCTTAGAATTTCTAGGTCATGTAATTTCCACTAAAGGCGTCGAAGTCGACCCTCGGAAGATCGAGACGGTGCAAGCCTGGCTACCGCCCACGAACCTGCAGGAGCTGCAATTTTTTTTTGGGTTCATCAATTATGTTCGGAGATTTATCCCGAATATGGCGGGGGTAACTGCACCACTGACTGACATGCTGCAGAAAGGGACTGAGTATTAGGTGGGGGGAGAAAGCAGCCAATTCCGCCGCCTGAGCGTGCGAGGTGACGATGGACTTCGTCACAGGACTGCCGACCAAGGATGGCTGTAACAAGACAATATTTGTCATTATCGATAAGCTGACGAAGATGGCCCACTTTGCCGCTTGCAAGAAAAACATCTCAGCCAAAGAAACAGCCCGCCTTTTCATCACGACTGTCGTTCGCCTCCACAGAATTCCATCCGCCATCATTTCGGATCGTGACACAAAATTCACCAGCAACTTGTAGCGCAACCTCTGGGAACAGTTTGGCACGCGCCTACACTTCTCATCCGCCTACCACCCCGAGACTGACGGACAGACCGAACGGGCCAATCAGACGATGGAGCAGGTGATTCGCGCCACCTGCGATGACGTGGCAGACTGGGAGCAGCAACTGCCACCGATTGGGTTCGCGTATCATAATGCCCCGTCAACCACTGCACAACAGTACGATCACGCCCAACATCGAAAATCCTGTACCTCGAGCCCAACAGATCGCCGAAATATTATAGAATGCCCGAGAGTGAGCAGCCGAAGCCATTAAGTGCACGATTGTTTTTTAAAGCGCAATGCCGACCTACAATGATGAGCAGTGACTTACCAAGCTGGAAACTTAGTACTGCTCGACACCCAAAACCTCCGACTGCCCATCGTCCCAAAACTTCGCCCTCGATACTGCAGAGCATTTGATATCCTCCGTTACAGGCCACCCACTGCTACCGGCCACCTGGAACGTGAGCCCATCATTTCGCGTGCGACTATTATGACAATACATCGCTAGCACCAGTAAACTGCCACACCATCGGAACAACCCGAACATCCGACCGCTCGCCGAACCTACGGTTGAACCTGCGAAGATTCTCAGCCACCGGATCAAGGACCCTCAAGGCACTCGCCTGATCCAATTTCTGATATCCTGGAAGGACCGGACTGTTATAATCACAATAGGCTCAGATGTGCCTAAAATGAGAGAGAGCGCACTGTCAGATTTTCGTCAGACGGCTTCAGATATTGATAACGATCTGATCAGTGCCTCAAACAGTGATCTGTAAGTTGGATCTGGAGCGCGTTGCTGTCGCCTAACAGTTGAAATCTTGAGCTCTTGTTCTTGGTTCTGTAAGATAAATTCTTCTTGAGTTGATGAGTGCTTGCTGCACTCACCTGCAACGCAATGGACACTTCACACTCGACAAAAATAGAAAAACACATGCGACGCGCAAACGACGACTCGACATGCGAGTTGTAAAAACTCGCTAATGTCTTGACCGACACAAACCACATTGTGATATACCATTCAAGCACACACACAAGCACTAGATAGCAATGACATAGACTCACAAATGATTCCATGCCATGCATGCACACACACAAACAAGGATGACAAGCCGAGTGCAAGCCATAGGGTTGCACCAACACGAACGACCCTGGAAAACAGTTGGGTACCCCTGGCACAAATAAAAAATTACACAGTGTTACGAGTCTACCTCCAGTCATGCAATGTGCGTGACGTCGGCGGTCTTAGCCAAGACCATACCTCGGAGGGGGGAGGGTGTAAGGAAATGATATTTCCTTATCACGAGTTTTAGTTAGTAAGGCGTACACTTCTATAACGAGGTTGCTGCGCAGCTCTGCCACGATATTCAAATCGTGGTACCCAAATGTGGCCTCCTGCTGTTTCATGTCTATATATGTGCGCTTCGTGCTCATTTGCGAACCACACATCGTAGCTCTGCTGAGCCACGACTGTATGCTCTAGGCTAGCTATATTCATACTCCCTGCTGTTTTGACGTTGCCTTTTTTGTATTGTTTCCTCATTACTTAATCCTTCGACACACGCTCTTTGTGCTTCAAAACAAAAGACCAGCATACAATATTATCAGTAACACCAGCGCGGCTACCGTTCCCAAATTATATATAGTAGTACAATATATCTGTACAGCCCTAAGAGATTCTTGCTGGTCATTAATTTCACGAATTTATGGAAGACGTGCAAATGTTGTTGTTTTCGCCGCTGGGCCTTGAGTTTCCCCTTGAATACACAAACGAAAGGCCCACTATTGGGCTATGTATAAAATGCTAAAATGCTTTGATTGTTAATGTTGAAGCATTCTATACCATTTTGTATTCCCGAAGATACAATATTATAACTTAGCGTGATACCTCATAAAAAGGTACACGCACTGTAGGAGTAGTTGAGATTCCTACACGATATGAAAAACAAATTGAGTATCTCATCGAAAAATGGCTCATTGGACCATCACCCTCGCCCTATGGTGCAAAAGCCGACGGAAGCCTGCACATGTGCATGAATTACCGAGCTCTCAACAAGCAGACCATCAATGATAAGTACCCCATTCCATGAATCAAGGACTTGCTTAATAAGCTGCTAGGACCTACGGTATTGATGCCTTTGGCCCATAATGCACTCTTCAAGTGAGGGGGTGAAGGAACGAGGTCCGAAGTGGTGCAATTGCTGACGAGCTTGCAAAATGCCCTTGCGACAAAAATACGCAAGCCAAAAAGAGAGAGGAAAGGGGGGGGGGGGGGGGGGGGAGAGGGAAGGGGTGGGGGGGGCAGTGTTGGTGCGACATATCCTCTATTGCACGTCACCATACCGCCTCTTCCTTGGTAACAACATGGCGGTTGGCAAAGCTGTGTGTGTGTGTGTGTGTGTGTGTGTGTGTGTGTGTGTGTATGTGTGTGTGTATTTATTAGCTAGGGGCAAGCTCTATGGAAGGTCCATTGAAGGCCCATCGAAAGCCCCCTGGAAGTCCCATGGAAGTCCCATGGGAGTCACATAGGAGTCACACGGGAATCACATGGGAGTCACACCGGAGTCACATGGGAGTCACACAGGAGTCACATGGGAGTCACATGGGAGTCACACGGGAGTCACATGGGAGTCACACGGGAGTCACATGGGAGTCACACGGGAGTCACATCGGAGTCGCATGGGAGTCACATGGGAGTCATATGAGAGTCATATGAGAGGTTGTTTTGGAGTTGTTTAGGATTTTTACAGGTGCACGGTTTTTTGTCTTTAGGCATTTTCCAGTACACATTAAGCCTCGTATTGGCATGGGTAAGATTGTGAAGAGGACGAGATCGTGGGGGAACACATGGGGGGTGCATTTTCAGGTGAATACATGGGAGTTGAGGATGAAGGATGAGGAGTCAGGTAGAGGTCACACCCACAACCTCCTGGATTTGTTTCTAGGTGAATGTCGCAAGTGCAATGCATGGGCACTTGCAGGTTATATCTTGGAGTAAACGTTGTGCAACCTGCAGGTGCTACGTGCAAGTGAAATGCACTGATTTTGCAGGTGCAATTGTGGGAGAGTATGGTTTGTTGTGGCACCGATCTGGTGTCATGACACTTAAAGCTTTTGCTGTGTGGATCTAGCTAATAATTGGGCTGTTTGGTTTTGCATTGATGGACTGTTAGATTAGATATGCATGTGTGTTTCATTTGTTATACATCCTTTATAAATGAAACTTCCCTATCATTGTATTGACGTGAGGGAATTTCTTCACACGCACCAAGTCGTCATCAATCCACTACAGCTGCACTGGAGGAACGACTCTAGTGAATTTTGACGAAGGCTGTACTTGGCTTGCTCTCTACAAACACAGACCTTTGGATAGGGGCTGGTTTTAACCAGGCATCCAAGGACCCTAGAGACGACCCTGTGGAGCAAGTCTTGTGTACCTGAATCCCTATTCCTAGAGTGTTATTAGGTTCTTATTTGTAACAGCCAGCAAACGCGTGCTGCGACTCTAGAGTGGGAGAAAAGAGCAAGGCTTATATTTTGTTTTTGGGGCACCCAGTGGCGCGGGTATATGCAAGCTATCCATTCAGCTTAGGGTTTGTCAAACGTAACTCGACAAGGCCAGGTTCCACAGCCGGATTCGGCAAAAACCCAACCCCATATTTTGATACAAATCCGCGTGGTTTGGCATACTCTGACGAGGGCAGCGACGAGACTAGGATGAAAAGTTTTGAAATGCAGGAGCTTGGATTTAAAGTTTGTGGGGGGGGGGGGACTTTAGCGTTCTTGGTTTCAAAGGGGGTTGCAATGTTATGTGTGGGTCTGTCCTCAAACCCATTTACCCTTTTTCGCATTTCAGATTACTAACATATTTAACGCAAAAACCTGCATTATGGGTTGACAGCTTTAAGAAACAAGTCTTGCCATGGATAGATGCAGATATGAATGGCAGACAATTCCATCTGCGGAACTGCATTCTGAACTCAAGTACTTGCTAATGATGTTTGGACTCACCAACACACCAGCGACTTTCCAAGCCGAAATTAACCACATTCTGTGGCCCTTGCTGAACGAGTGCATTTACGACAGTCTCTTATAGTTGCACGACAGGAAGCAGCACGTGAAAGACACGCAATGCATCTTCCAAATTCTTTGATGCAGTAGAAGAAACTCTATGCCAAACATTCCATGTGTGATTTCGCCTTGAAGAAGGTCCAATTTCTCGACCACATGGTGAGCGCTCAATGCTTTTACATCAACTCGAAGAATATTAAAGCCATATGTATGTGAAAGACCCCCGAGAAATTGAAGGGGTTGCATCAATTCCTAGGCTTCGTAAACTACTACAACCGGTTCATGCCACAATCTATGAAAATTGTGGCACTGCTTACGAACCTCTTGAAGAAGAACACCATCGGAGACAAAACATGAAGAATTCATAGTGCAGCTATAGCAAGTACTCAAGTTTGCTCTAGTACTTATCTTACGAGATCCCGAATGTGACTACATTATCGAAGCCGATTCCAGAGACCAGGCAGTGGGAGTACTTTAATGTGAGACCAATCGCCTATCTCGGTAAGAAACTATATGGAGCATAGCTTAACAAGCCGATACACAACAAGGAGGTTTTTGCATTTGTCATCGCCTTCGAAGCATGGAGTTGCTACCTCGAAGAGAGCAAAACTATTGTCTACACCACACAGTGCAGCCTTAGATATTTTAAGACACAACCGGCACCCTCCAAGTGACAGGTCTGGTGGATTTGTTTCCTTGAGATGTTTTTTTCCTTCAAAATCGTGCACAAGCTGGATAAGAGTAAAGCGTACACTCTCACACACACACGAGAAAGCACAACAGTTCGCCACTCTCATCATTATTCAACACCAAACTCGTCATGTTCAACCGCCTATCATCCACAGACTGATGGACAGACTTGCTTGAATAATTGCACTCGCAGGGATCATACCATCGCCGTAGGATAATTTATTCTCCTTGACACCCGCAACGTTGACATTAGCATTCTTCCTCCTATGCCTACCATTCATCAAGAAGGTTCATAACGCATTCCGTGTCTAGATTCTCAAGCCTTGTGAGGATCCAAACATGCTCCACACCAGATGCCAACAGCCATCGCTGCCACCTGCCCTCATAAAAAAAATTCAAGTATGAGGTCGAGCCCGTGCGTGCACACCGCCGTGGTTGGAATGACACCCAGCTTTCTCAATTTTGTTCTAAGTCTCATTCCTCTTCTATACTAATTCCTTTGCTCCTAAAAACATATTCTTTGTTTTCCTATTTTCCTTGCTTGATTATCTTATGTCGTATCATATTTTTGTTTTTATATTACTAATAAGGCTCGGGATGTACTACCACTCTAGAACTGGCGTAAGCTTTGTCGTAATCCATTAAAACCAATTGTCCCATGTGATTATATTTCTAGAAGGGTTGATATCCTTAGGATAAGATAAACTTGGTTACCCTCTATACACGACGATGCTGGAGCATTTGACACATTTCCGTCAAAGGTGCTATCCTACTGCTCTACATGAGAAATGGCTGCACACTTTGCCAAGAATTTCCACGCTCCAAGTTCCAGCACTTTGCGGACCTTGTTCAACCAGGGCTCTGGCTGTTACGAGTTCGGGATTTAGCGAAAGCTTGAACAAAGCATTGAATTATTGAATCACTGAGTACAAGCAAAGCCACAATCCTTTTTATACATACGAGAACTCAAAGGACATGTAATAATGACCTAAGAGAGTTCTAGAAATGAGTGGAACCTTCCATAAGAACACCATCTAGAAGCACGGTAGGGATTCTAGAGATACAATGACGGCAAAGGCAGTTGCTCTGCACACCTTGGCGAGTGACGCATACTCTTCTACATATGTGTGGCATCCTCGTCTAGCACATGCTGAGAATGAGATGATTAGTCGGGCTGTGTTTCTTGCGTCGGTGGCAAACTCGCTTGACATAGCTTTCCTGCAAAAGGGGGCGAGAAGAAGAAAGTGCTAGGAGTAGTGCATGTCCATCTCTGCAGGCCCTTCCAAGTTCTCGCTAAAGATGGCACCCGCTACTTTCTTCTACTCAAACAGCGCAAGACGTGCTGCGTTTGCATCTACCTGATCGTGCAGAAAAGTTATGCATTGCTCGTTTTTCAGAAGTGGCTTTTGTGGGCAGAACGACACTGTGAGGCACCGCTAAAGGCTCTATGCTCCGATCGTGGTGGCGAATTCTTGGGCAGACAATTCATCAAGTTTCTTGGAGAATGAGGAGTTGAGCACAATCTTACATGTCCATATATGTTGCAGCAGAATGGGAACGTTAAATGCGGACTCTCGTTGAAGGCGTTCAGACGATGCTTCTGCACATGGCTACTCCTCACCACTAATGGCATATTTCTGCTCTGCAAACAGTCTGGGTGCAGAACCGCCGCAAACCTTGCGGCCCTCATCCACACGCAAACATGCACACTCCCCCCCCCCCCCGAACGCCCATCCAGGGGGAACCAATAGAACCCCCACCTGACACGTCGCTCACGAAGCCCTGCGACGCACCCGACTGGCCCGAGCCTGGCGAAACCCGTCGCACCCAGTCCCGAGCCCCGCGCCTCAACTCGCTAGGCTCAGAAAACCGAGCCCACGTTGCCATCACGCTCTCTCGTCATCAATAGGGAAACGAAACACGACACAAGAATGAAAACACCCGACATATAACTTCCTGATGAAACATTAACATAGTATTACAACACGAATGCGATGTAACAAAGGAGAAAGGGCCCGGACAAAAATAAAACATTGAGCATGATGAATTTGGTAAACACACACTAAAAGAGCAGCGTGGGAGACCCACTGCTCCACACAAAAAAAAGGGAGGGGGGTGGTGACGACGTGCCTGGAAATCCCTCTATGGAAGCCATCAGGCGTATAGAGAGGGGTAGCCAACGTGCATGCAGGTCAGCATATGACAGCCCTCAGGGTATATGGGAGCCGACCAGCGTGTGCTGGACACCCTTTATTTTTTTTGCTGAACTGGTGACAACTCTCTCTTAAAGGCACACCTGGGTTGCACATGTGCCGGTGATCAACACATCTTGTGTGCCATGGTTGGCACTTGGGAGCGCTGCCTGTGTGGAGCTTGGGCTTGCTCGAGGGGGGGAGGGGATGGGGGGGGGGGCTCTGTGAGCTGGTGGTCGACATGCAAGCATGCTATGGGTGACAGGACGTGTGCCATCATTTCGCTTGGCATGCTACGAGTCCTTACAAGGCCGTTAGCCAACATGCAAGCACGTCATGGATCCACTGTGTGCCAACTGTGGCCCACACATGCTTCCCCTCGACATGAACCTGTTGCATGACCTCCTGTCGGCAGCAGCAAGGCGGGGAAAGCAGTGTGTGTCACCATCTGAGGCCCAAACATGCTTTCCCTCAACAGGAACTCGTTGCATGGGCTCCTATCGACTGCATCAAGGCGGGGAAAACACTGTGTGGCGGGGGAAGCAGTGTGTGTCGCCAACTAAAGCCTACACATGCGTCCCCTTGATAGGAACCCATTGCATGGGCTCTTGTCGGCTGCAGCAAGGCGGGGGAAGCAGTGTGTGTCTCCATCTGAGGCCCACACATGTTCAGGCATTGGGGAGGGCAGTGTGTGTGCCCCATGGGGTGCTCCGCATTCGCCCTCGGTAGGAGGCCCTGACAAGGGCAACTGTCAGCTGCAGAGGGGTGGGGAGCGAAGTGTGTGTCCCCCATGTGGTGCACACGCGTTCCCCCTTGGCTGGAAGCATTGGCAAGGGCTCCTGTCATCTGCAGAGGGGTGGGGAGGGCAGTGTGGGGGTGCACACGTGTCCCCTCTTGGCAGGAATCATTTGCAAGTGCTCTTGTTGGCTGCTGAAGGGTGGGGAGGGCAGTGTGTGTCCCCCGTGGGGAGCACACGCGTCCCCCCGTGGCAGGAAGCATTGGCAAGGGCTTCGGTCGTCTGCAGAGGGGTGGGGAGGGCAGTGTGGGGGTGCACATGCGTTCCCCCTCGTCAAGAAGCACTGGCAAGGGCTCCTGTGGACTGCAGAAGGGTGGGGAGGGCAGTGTGTGTCCCCCGTGAGGTGCGCGCACGCCCCCCCGCGGAAGGAAGCATTGGCAACTGCTCCTGTCGGCTGAAAATGGGTGGGGAGGGCAGTGTTGGGGTGCACACGCGTCCCCCCTTGGCAGGAAGCATTGGCAAGTGCTCCTGTCAGCTGCAGAGGGGTGGTGAGGGCAGTGTGTGTCCCCCGTGGGGTGCACACACGTTCCCCCTCAGAAGGAGGCCCTTGCCAGGGCTCCTGTCAGCTGCAGAAGGGGGAGGGCAGTGTATGGGCTCCTGTCGTCTGCAGACGGGTGGGGAGAGGCCCGTCTATCGGCTTCACAGAGAGACGCACTTGCTCCCCACGACAAGGGCTGCTGTCGGCCGGGGGCGAGGGGAGGGTGTGAGCGGGGGTGGGCGTGAAACATGTGTCATGGCAACTAGTGTACAGGTATATGTTAGGCGCGTTAAGACATCGAACACAGCGTAACACTAGGGTTTGCCTACACACATATGGACTATGACGTCGGCCATGCTGTTAAGATCCACCCCTCGCATGGAGGGCGTGGAGAGCCGTCACGCTTAGGAGGAGCAGTGGAACACCATCTTCTCTTCATCCCTACGCTCACTCGGCAACCCGCTGTCGAAAGCCGCCATCGCCAGCATCCTGACACATGGGATGTCGGTATAGTACGTTTTTACGGCAACGCGTTCCTCCACGTCGACATGGAGGCGCAGTGCCTTGATGCGCTACTCGAGAATCGACACAATGACCCTGAATGAATGGCATACAGTTGGTGGGTGCAGCGGATCTACGTTGGGCACAACTTTGGCAGTCGAAGGATCAGCAAGGGAGTGTGAGACGCAAACGTCGCACATCTATGTGTGCCAAGGGATCCCCACACAAGAGGTTGGGGCTCCATGCTGCCAGCCTCTTTCGCACGAATGGCGGGGCTCTGCCATCATCGAGAAGCGTGTCATTAGAATCCATTATGTCTTTGCAAGCCCTACCTTGCCTCCGAAGACGTAAAAGGTATATTATTGGTTATCCTAACCTACCGCTGGCCTTGTACATCGTCCTAAGGAGAGGTAATCTGGACAAGGAGCCTTGTAAGTATGCATGCTATTAATGGGTCGACTCAATGAGGGGTTGGGTTGATTGATGGGCGATGTGTTAAATTCGACGAGAAACAGGCGTGGCAGGATGAACTGACGATGCACGCCGGAATATCTGATGACATCCAACCAACGCGCGGTCCACCATGCTGCCGCATGTGCTTGTGACGAGGTTTGATAGGAGTCCAGCAGAAGACGCGTGCTGGTTGGGCTGGATCCATCCAATCTATTCTCCAATAACACCAGCCATATCTCCCACCCTCCTTCGGTGGGGTGGGATTGCCGAAGCCAATGCATGCTGACTAGGATACCTTCATGGCCCTCGAGTCATTGCCATGTCACTTGTTATTTAAAGCAAGGATCTCACGAAGTAAATGGAACTGGAGCAGGGGGGCGAGATGGGAGTGGGGGGGTGAGACTAGGAACGGGAGCAGCCATGGTTGTGGGCGAGGTACCCAGGAAGAAAGAAAGAGATGCAAGGGAGGGACAGCGAGGGTATGAGGGGGGGGGGGGGGGGGGGGGGGAGAGAGGGAGCGTTGCCATGTTGAATGGGGGGAAAGGGGGAATGGATTTGGAGAAAGGGAGGAGAATGAAGGAGGGGAGGGATGGGATAGGCGGCAGGGAGGGATGTGATAAGGGGGGAGTTGGGGATGAGAAGGGAGATGGCACGCTGATTGGGGAGGGAATTCGGACGAGGCAAGGTGGGTTTGAGCATGCGGAGCAAAGGGTGTGCTTTGGGAAGCAGGGAACGGAGTGAGAGGAATGGGGAAGGCAGTGGGATGAGGGAGGAAGTGGACGGGAATGGGGGAAGGGAGGGATGGGATTGGCATGGAGGACAGCTGCCGGGGTGGAAGGGGCATTCGGAAGGGAGGGGGGTGGGGGGGGGATAGAGGGCATGGAAGGGAGGAATACATGGCATGGAACGGGGGAATAGGCCGTTCTATTATCTCTCTCTCTCTCTCTCTCTCTCTCTCTCTCTCTCTCTCTCTATCTATCTCTCTCTCTCTCACTCTCTCTCTCTCTCTCTCTCTCTCTCTCTCTCTCTCTCTCTCTCTCTCTCTCTCTCTCTCTCTCTCTCTCTCTCTCTCTCTCTCCTCCGTCCGTCTGCCCGTCCATCTGTCCCTCCTGCCCTTCCCCCCCTCTACGCCTCTCCCCACGCTCCTAACCGCCCTTCCCCCCTCTACGCCTCTCCCCACGCTCCTAACCGCCCTTCCACCCCTCTACACCTCTCCCCACGCTCCTAACCGCCCTTCCCCCCTCTATGCCTCTCTCCCCACGCTCCTAACCGCCCTTCCCCCCCTCTACGCCTCTCCCCACGCTCCTAACCGCCCTTCCCCCCCTCTATGCCTCTCCCCACGCTCCTGTCTCCCCTTCCCCCCTCTCTACGCCTCTCCCCACGCTCCTATCCGCCCAATCACTCCCTCCCTCCCTTGCTTCCTTCCTCTATCCCTCCCTCTCTTTCCGAATCTCACTCGATGCCCCTCTCCACTCTGTTTCCTCTCCCTCGCATGCCTCTTTCTCACTCTTGCACACTCTCCCTCTATGAGTGAGGCATAGCTAGTACCGCGAATCAGGATCGAGGCATGAATTGCGGGCGGAATGGGAGTGCGGCGTGTATGGTACGGAGTCTAGAGCATCTCTGGGCGGGTTTGAGATACGGCGGAAACCGGCGGAGGAGGTGATGGCGTGGTGAAAGCAAATGAGTGGATTGGAGATGAGGGGGAAGGAGGTGAGGGGAGAGGGGTTGAGGTCAAAAGAGGTGAGGGAAGGGGAGGTGGGGGGAGAGGAGTGTTGTGTGATGTCATCATATGCTATCACATTCTGTCTGCCTCCCATCCCTTGTTTCAATTCACATGTATGGTTTGACTGCGTGTGAAAGAATTTGTGTGGTGTGTGTTCTGGAGTTTGGGAATGTGTTTTGTATTATTCTGTCTGAGCAGGTATTTGTGATGATAGATCTTGAGAAGATCTTTTCGACGCAACAAGAATCGCTTCAATCGGAGCAAGAACGCGAAAGCTATGAAGATTCAAAGTTCATGAGCTTGCGTTACAATTGCGGCGGTTACAAAGTGAAGTTGTGGGGTGACTCTATATGGAGTTGGGACCTTTGGGGTTGGGGAAATTCGTCACTCTACTGTAACAGCTGCAAATTGGTTGGGAACAACCAAGCTAGGTTGGCAAGGGTGGCCAACTTGGATGGATTGGTTGGGAAGGGACAAATGTCAAAGTTGGGGTTCCTATAGGGGGGAATCTTTGTGCTTATGGGGTTTCCTTGGTTGGGGATTCTCTTGGGACCTTCCCTGTCGTCCCTCTCTTTCTATCCCAACCTTTCTCTTGCTCCTCTAATTCCTTGTGAGATTCTTGAACTTTGATTGAACTGCCGTGCGGAGAGCATTCGCCTGACGTACACACTGCCGAACTCCCTAAAGGGTCAATGAGCGATGCATCAGCCTGGTCATGGAGGCAGCTCGCCCCTCCATGGTCCACGTTAGTGCACCCAATTTTCTGTGGCCGTTTACGATGCGCTATGCTGCTCACCAGCTTAACCTGTGGCCGCGCTCCCAGCGGCCGCACGTTTTGCCGCCATTCTCTAGACCGGGTCTCCTGGTGACGCATCTGCGTTTCACGTCTGGGGCAGCCTTGCTCACGTCCGCGATGCTCGCGCGGACAAGCTCTCATCCCGCACCCTTCCTTGTGTCTTCCTGGGGTTTCCGCTCGACGGCCCTGACTGGCTGTTTAACCACCGCTTCTACAATTCTTGTGACGAGACCTTCGACGAGACGCTCCCTTGCTACTGGCGCTTCCCGCACCGCAGTGCTTCTGTTCCTCCTCCTCTCTCTTTCTCGTCCTAGTTCCGCATGCCTCACCCCTCCCACCAAGACTGGCCCCATCTGGTGTCTCTCATGCCACTCCGTTCCCCTCGCTCGGGCCCGAGGGGGAGTCTGCTGAGTCTGGAGGCCCAGCGGCTAGGGGCACGCTTGCTGTGCTTGTGGCGCTTCCCCCAGCTCCGGTACCCTAGACTCCGCAGTATACTCCCCCCTTTCATCAGCAGCAGCTGCAGCCGCCGCCGCAGACTCAGCGGGTGTAGCAGCAGCAGCAGCAGCAGGGGGCAGTGGGCTCTGGGGTTGCTGGCTTTGGGGGTGCTGGCTCTAGGGGTGCTGGTTCTGGGGGTGCCGGCTCTATGGGTGGTGCTAGACCTAGAGGTGCTGTTCTTGAGAGTACCGGTTGTAGGCATAGTGGAGCTGGAGGCCCTGGAGAGGACAGGGAGCAGCAGCAGCCACAGTATGCTCTTCGTCTCCTTGGTCTTTCCTCCGGTTCTCCTGATAGATCGCGCGACCCTCCTCCAGTGCATGACCTTGTTTACGTCGTGCTGTTTCCCTCCATGCTCTCCTCCATCAACTGTCCTGTCCCACTCCCCCCCTTGTCCCCAGTCACCTCTTCTTCCTCACTGAGTCCGTCGTCCCTCTAGTGCCCGTCCTCTCTCTCCTCGTGCTAGTGTCCACCCTATGGTCCCATGTTCTCGTTTTCCTCCAGTCCCCGCGCTTCCGTTACCTCCTCCGGCATCGCTCCCACAGACCTCTGCTCCTCCCTTTCACTCCGCTTGCACTGCTCATCCTACCACCTCTCGCTTGTTTGCATCGCTTGTCACAGACCCTACTGCTCCTCCTGAAACATTCTCTGCGCTTGTTGTTGCTCTCGTTGACTGCACTAATAGCCACTGCCTTGACTATGCTGCCGCTATGGTCTCTAGTACTGCCGGGTCTCCATCCGTCGGGGGTGCACCTGCCCTTGGCAATGATATACTAGAGGACAGAAAATAAGAGCTGGCCTACCTGGCTGCCGCTGTACCCCATCTCTGCTTCATGCTTTTATCCCCAAAGGGCGATCCAGACGCCCTTGACATCCCTATCGCGTGCTCTTACGCTGAGGTGGTGTCGAGGCCCTGGGCAGCCCAGTGGATACAGGCCATGGAGGTTGAGATGGCATCCTACAGATCCACAGGCATTTACGTCAACGCAATTCCCCCGCCTGGGGCAAACGTAGTCGATGGCATGTGGATATACTGGGTGAAGCGCGCACCTGGAGAGCCGCCGAAGTTCAAGGCGCGTTACATAGCTAGAGGCTCCAGTCAGCGAGAGGGTGTGGACTTCTTCCAGACATTCTCCCGTACCCCGAAGATGACTACTCTTTGGGTGCTCCTCCACCTAGCCTCGCAACGTGACTATGAGCTTCACTCACTTGACTTCTTCATAGCCTTCTTGCATGGTTGTCTGCATGAGCAGATCTACCTCCGGTTCCCTCTAGGCTTCTCTGGGTCCTTCCCACCGGGGACCCAGTGGAGCCTGTGCTACCCTATCTATGGCTTTCGTCAGGCACCCCGTGAGTGGCACGATACACTTCGCACCACACTTGCTGATCTGTAGTTCCTTCCATCCTCTGCTGAAACTTCTCTCCTTGTTCGCATGGGTCAGACCCCACTCTACATACTAGTGTACGTAGACGATCTTATCTTTGTTATTGTTCACAGAGATGCACTGGCCTTAGTGAAGGCCGAGTTACTTAGGAGGCAGTCCCGGGGGAGTTGAGGCGCTATTTGGGCTTGGAGATCTCTCGTGATCGTGTCGCTTGCATGATCATACTCTCCCGGTCCAATATGGTGCAGCAGATCCTCCAGTGGTTCAGACTCTAGTTCTCCTCAGCACAGCCCATCCCTCCGCCTGTGGATCACAAGCTTTCTACTCCTGTTCCGGCTGAGCTGGTAGAGGCCAGTGGTCCATACGCAGAGCTGGTGGGTTGCCTCATGTACCTGATAACCTGCACTCGACCAGATCTAGCATACCCTCTCAGTCTGCTTACTCGCTTTGAAGCAGCAGGCAGGCACTGACCAATCCACTGGTCGGCTGCCAAGAGGGTACTGCGGTATCTAACGAGTACATCAGGACTGGGGTTTTGTGCTAGGAGGATGGGAGCCAGTGGTGCTCACTGAACACACAGACCTGTCGTGGGCGGACGACTTGGAGATGCTCATGTCGTCTCAGAGCTACCATTTTAGTCTTGGTGCTGGTGCAGTTTCGTGGAGGTGCATTATGTCGTCGTTTGTAGCTCTTTCCAGTTGTGAGTCATAGATCTACGCTAGGGCCATCGCCGCTTAGGAGCTGCGCTGGCTGTCATTCTTGCTCACTCACTTTGGTGAGCAGCCTAGGTCTGCCCCGGTTCTATTTGCTGACAACAGGGCCATGATCCTCCTGTGTCAGGAGCCTCGACTTGAGGGCAGGGAAGCCCATCCAGCTGCGGTACTTCCTCCTGCGCGAGCTACAGCAGCGCCGCCAGGCTCGCGTAGTACACTTGGCCTCTGGTGCCAACACAGCTGATATATTTACGAAGGCGCTTGCACCTAAAGATCATCAGTGGTATTGTGTACAGCTAGGTCTCGTTCTTGTAGCCTCTCACTTGCTAGGGCCTTGATTATGTACAGACCTTTATATATATTTTACCCTGACTGGCCTTGTGGCCTCTCCCAGTGGCTGGACTAGTTGTGCCGCCCTGGTCTTGTTCTTGCCTTGGTTTGTACATGTTTGACTGGTCTTTAGACCCTTGCCTCAGAGGTTGAACTAGTAGTGCCACCCTGAGCTGCTTGTCTATCAACAGACACTGTCCTTATCCAGTCTAGGGGGTGTGTCAAACACATTTGTGTGTGATGCTATAGACCATATAAGGTTGTGCCTTAGAGAGTACAACCCCCTAGGTTATAATGCCTTATACTCTCACATTCTAGTCATTCTTTCAGTTTGTTAAGGGATACAAGGTTTATATAATAATACAAGAGAATATGAAGAGTCTAACAGTTTTGCACTTCGAGGGGTACATTCCCTTTTGCGAATCGATAAGGTGACTCGGGTAACCACCCGTACTATAATACGGGGTGGCTATTTGTCCTTACTGTCGCGCTGACCCTTGACTCTTGCGATTCTGACTGTTGGGGTGTATTCGTTGCCCTTTCGTAACCTCTGTGGGGTGTAGTTAACACATGTCAACTGTTGTAGCGATGTTGACTCTGTAATCCTCGTTGTTGTAGTCTTCGTGTATTCGTACATTCACACGAGACTCCGGAAATGCTAAGTCCTTTTATCATTTCCAACACCCTCCTTCATTTATGGAGTGTCGATGTGGTCGAGGTTGCTGACGTGTTGTAGTCTAGTCAGAAGTATGCAGTACTAGAACTTGGCCTTCATCAGCTTCTTGGTCAAGTAGTCGGCTGCCATTTCAGTGGTGGAGCAATAGACCAATTGGAGGCGGCCCTACTCGATCTTGTCCTTCATAAAGAAGTAACGAAATGAGATGTGCTTTGTCCTGTTCACAAATCCGTTTTTGTTGGGCGTGGTTGGTGCCGCCACACACTTGACTAGCACGAGGGCCATGCTTGATGACATAGGGACACGGGGGGAAGCGGTTGCATTGGAATGGTGCGAAAGCGGCAGAGGCCTGAGGCACGGAAGCACGGATTGCATTGGCCTTGGCTTGAGCGCTGTTGTCCTTTTCGGCAGAAAGGAGCGCGGACGAGACCTTCGCAAATGTGAGGTCCGCAGGAGCAAGGCCCAAGAGCATCTTGCGTGTGACCTTGTATGCTGGAGTGAGGCTGACTATGAGAGCGGCTGCCGGGCCTTGCTCGGAAAAGACTATCCCCAACTGCTTGAGTTCATTATGAATGGACTGCACCTTGGTGACATAGTCCGCCATGCTTGGCGAGTCCTCGAACTGCACTTGGAACATGCTTGGGATGAGTATATCAACTCCCACTGTAGTCTTGTTCAGGAAGTGGTCTTCGAGGTAGAGCCAAATGGCGTTGGCAGACGGGTAATCGTGGTAGATTTCGACGAGTTCGGTAGGAGTGGTGCCCATGAAGACACTAATGACCGCACCATCGGCCTTCTCCCAATTCTTGTACTTGAGCAGTGCAGCAGCATAAACTGCTCCGGTGGCGGCATTAGCTGTCACCGATGTTGAGAAGGACGTCGGTGAGCTCGAGTCCCTTCACCTCGCGACTGAGGAGGTGCTTGTCGACACCATAGCGCCAAGACTTGTAGTTGGAGCATGTACCGTCCGGCTCGAGACGAAGGAGTGGGATCGGGTTGGCAAGTGAAGTGGTTGAGAACCTGTGTACGTGCTCTTGCTTGACGCGAGACGTTCATGGAGGCGATTCCGCGAGGGGAGTTCGCCTATTCTGGCGGGGTTTGAGGGGAAACTCGAAAACGAGTTTCAAGAGATGGTCGAAATTGAGATTCGACCAAAGAGAACCGAGAAGGAAATCGATGATGAGAAGCGTGAAAGCTTTCGAGATGAGAAATTCAACGAGGTCGAGCGCGAAGGCGGTCGATGATGAGAGGCGCGAATGCAGAGTGGAGTACGTCAAAAATTCCGACGACTCGAGACGAGTGTCGCGACGATGACGTGCGCGTAGCGCGGGCACGCTAAGATTAGGACCTTGATCCACGTATGCACATAGGTCGCTCTGATACCATGTAAGCAATAGAGCTGAAAGGATTGATTAGGTAAGGAGCCCTAGGCTCTATAAGTACATTGCATGGTGAGAGAGAATGGATGAAGGGGGAATCGGAGGGAATCCCCTCTGGGATCCCCGGAATCTATAATTGGGTAATTGGAGATTGGGGGGATCATAATTGGGTGAGGTTGGGATTTTGTGAGTACACCCCAACCCACTACAAAATTCCTAACCTAAACTAGGATATAAAAGTACAAATACGAAAGTGGGATTTGCAATGTATTTCTAACACCTTCCGCTGTAGCGCTTGCTGACCCCTCCTTATGTCGGTAGTTGCACGTAGCTCCACCACCCTTCCCTCGTTGGCGGTTCCCTCGGGCTCCCTTACAGGCTTGCACGTCCCCTCGTTCTCCAGGAACCTAGTTGGTGTCGACTATCTTCAAGACCTCGGCGTCACCACTACGTTTCCTGGACACGAGCAGTACACAGTCTGCACCGCGAACCCGGTGGGAGCGTCCCCCCAGGTTGTCGCACCCTCCCAGGTCATTGCACCTTGCTCGTGTCTGTCGCTCACCCACACGTCACTGCTGTGGCACCATTGCGTGGGTCACCCCGCACTCCCACGTCAGCGCCACATGTCCTTGCATGGTCTTGTCTTAGGTCTCCCTGCGTCGCTCCCTGCCCTCCCTCCCTTGCCTCCACCGCCGTTTATACCTTGCACCGAGGGCCGGCTGCGCCATGTCCCTCACTCCTTCTTGATTCCCCTCACCACTGCGCCACTGCAGACCCTGCACCTAGACGTCACAAGCCCAGCCCCTGTCCCTGGGCCGTGTCGAGTGCGCTACTTTCTCGTACTCGGCGACGACTACACGCGCTACACCACGGTGTTTCCCCTGGAGCAGAAGGTCGACGTGCCTCACGTTCTTATCTCGTTGGTCGTAGCTGCACGAGTCCACCGCGGCCTCCCTAAGCTGCGTCTTCACTCCGACCATCGCGGTGACTTTGCCTCCGGTCGGCTTGGCCAGTTCTGTCATGCGGAGGGCATCAATCTGTCGTACACCCTGCCGGACTCCCCGCAGCAGAATGGGGTCACTGAGTGACGCATCGGTTTGGTGATGGAGGTGGCTCGTACCTCCATGAACCGTTTCGGTGCACCCCATTTTCTGTGGCCGTTCGCTGTTCGCTACGCCGCTCACCAGCTTAACCTGTGGCCACACTTCCAGTAGCCGCACGTTGTGCCAACCCTTCTCTAGACCGGGTCCCGTGGTGACGCGTTTGCGTTCCACATCTGGGTCTGCCTCGCTCACGTTCGTCCCTCTGGCACGAACAAGCTCACTGCCCGCACTGTCCTCTATGTCTTCCTTG